GCCACAGATCAGGCGATCACGCAAGGCGTCATCGAGAAATGTCCCAAACTGGCAGGGGCTGGCAAGATCGCGTAGTGCAACAGCATACTGAGCGATGGACTCATCCATGTGTTGTTCGCGTTTGTAAAATCGGAAACGCTCTGCTACAACTAGACGCTTTGGGCCGTAGTGTGATACAAGCATATCACAGAGTTCTTTGAAGCTCTTTGCAGACACTGGAGTTGGTTCAGCTAAGCTTTTTACAGTCTTGTATACAGTAGCACCAACTGCACTCAACAGAACTGCCGATTGTTTCGCCGCAGGGATGTCATTTGCAACAAAATAGAGGTTAAGACGCTCGATGTAGTTGCGAATGTCTTCAACTTGGTCGTACTGGTCGAGACGGCCAATTAACGGAGCGCTGGATACCGCCCCCAACGATGCAGACTGCGTCATTGCGATGTCTACGTGTTCCCGTGCGTGCGTGAAACTCCCAACAATTCGTTCGAAAGTTGTAGCGTAAATGTCACTTTTTCATGCGAAAAGTGGAATGCAAAATGACGGTTATTTTATACTGTATCAACCACTGCTGCCACCATGTTAGGTTACTGGTTTAAGGTTGATAAGAATTGACTAGATTGCGGAGACTCACCATTTGGGGTTCACCATGCGGGCCGCCATGTTTGCACATGTTTTATTCATGAGTGCGTGTACTTACAGAACGTACAGTTCATGTCATGGAACGTACAGTCCGAATGCCTGTTATAACAGACGTCACGTGACCCATAATGACGTCATGATGACGTCACTCTTCGGGACACAACTTTGCTATAGGGACTATGCTTGTGGTAACTTTGAGTGATGTATGACAAAGATTAATGTCAGAAGTGGTGGGCAGAACAATCGTGTACAAAGTCTATGGGGTTTAGACGACAAAAAAAAGGAAAAACTAGAGATTTATGTCTGTTCAATCAACAGAACATATGGCTTTTTCGCATTGTTGATTGTTGTCGTTGATTATTGATGTTGATTGTTGATTGTTGATTGTTGATGATGATTGTTGATGTTGATTGTTGATGTTGATTATTGATGTCGATTGTTGATGTTTCTTGATGATTGTTGATGTTGGTTAATGATGTTGATTGTTGATGATTGTTGATGTTAATTGTTGATTTTGATTGTTGATTGTTGATTGTTGATGTTGATTGATGATTAGTTGATGCTGATTGATGATGTTGATTAACATGTTAATTGTTGTTAATTGATGTTGTTCTTGTTGAATGTTGATGTTGATTTGTGATATTGATTTTTGATGTTGATGTTGTTGATGATTGTTGACGTTGATTGTTGATGTTGATTATTTATGTCGATGATTGATGATGTTTCTTGATGTTGATTTTTGATGTTTATTGTTGATGTTAATTGTTAATTGTTGATTCTGATTGTTGATTGTTGATGTTGATGTCGGTTGATGATTATTGATAGTTGATTGTTGATAGTTGATGATTTTTGTTGTTGATCATTGATTTTGACTGTTGATGAAGATTTTTGATTTTTTTTTATTGTTGATGGTGATTGTTCAGTGATGTTAATGTTATGTTTATATGTGTTTTCAACTATCGCATTTTGATGACGTCATGATGACGTCACATTCTTTTCAAAATTTTGTGTATATACTTATTCCCTATCAAACCAAATACAAAAAAGAATTTTAAATTTTGCATGTTGCGTTCGTGTGATATGGCTTAAAGGTCCAACAATTCATGAAATCATATAAAATCGCATGATGACGTCATTATGGCGTCATTTCAAGTTGTACCTATAACACATCCCGGTCTACCTACATACCTAGTTTCAACCCAATCAGACTTACCGTGCTGTGGATATTGGGCTTCGAATTATGAACTTTTAAGATGACGTCACGTGACCCATGACGACGTCATTAAAACAATACTTGGCGACGCTCATTATTCTTTTGTGGATTTAGCCTGTACCAAGTTTGAAGCGACTTGGATGAATAAAAGTGTTAAATTTTGTAATCAGAATAAAATTGTAAATATTTAAAAAATCGTTAAAAATCTGTCGATGACGTCATCGTGACGTCATTTTTATATTTAGTGCACTGGTACAATTATCTACCCACCCACCAAGTTTCAGTACGATCGGACATTTCCTTATATGTGTTTTAAAAAAAACGCATTTTTGATGACGTCATCATGACGTCTCACTTTTTTCAAAATTTTGTGCATATACCTATTGCCTAACAAACCTAATACAAAAAGAATTTTGAATTTAGCATTTTGCGTTCGTGAATTATGGCTTCAAGGTCCAAAATGTCAAAAATCAATATAAAATCACACGATGACGTCATGATGACGTCACCTCAATTTTTATCTATAACACATCCCGGTCTACCAACATACCGAGTTTCAACCCAATCCGACTTATAGTTCTTTAGATATAGGGTCCTAGATTTTGCACATTTCAGATGACGTCACGTGGGCCATGATGACGTCATGATGACGTCACTTTTCCATGCACGAGTTCACTGTGGGTTCTGACTCTGTGCCAAGTTTCATTAAGATTGAAGTATGTTCAGGGTCAAAAGTGGGGTCGTGAATGAAACATGTGCAAAGTCAATGGGATTTGGGATAGAAGAACAAGAAGAAGAAGTAAGAAAAAAAAAAATCAGAACAAAAACAAAGGCTTTTTCGCTGATGGCGAAAAAGCCAAAAACTAGAGCTATGTCTGTTCGATGAACAGAACATAGGGCTTTTCTGCATTTTTTTTTTGGTGGGGGGAGGGGTGTTTTGTCCATATGCAATTAGATACCATAGTTAGAGGACTAAATTCTTCACATACATGTATAGGACTTCCAAATTTACAACTTTTAACATGACGTCACATGTCCCACAATGACGTCATCGTAACAACACTTTAAATCCCATGAAAGAAAGTGTACCATTTTGTTAGGGGAATAAAATCTTTAAAAATTAACAAAATCATAAAGATATCAACCGATAATGTCATGACGACGTCATTTCAAATTTAGCATACTTGTGACATTATCTACCTATCCACAAAGATACATGAGGATGGGAATTCTGTTATATGTTTTTTGGAAATTTGCGTTTTTGATAACGTCATCGTGACGTTACAAATATAAAAAAAAATGTGTATATATACCATTTACCTAACAAACAAAATACAAAAGGAATTTTGAATTTTTCATGTTGCGTTGGTGAGATACGGCTTAAAGGTCCAAAAATTCAAAAATTCATATCAAATCGCACGATTACATCATCATGACGTCACCTCAATTTTATCTATAACACATCACAGTCTACCGACACACCGAGTTTCCACCCAATCAGACTTACTGTTCTGTAAAAATAGGACTTCAAAATATTCACGTTTGTGATGACGCCACGTGTCCCATGATGACGTCATCATAACAAAACCCGTCAGTCCAGATATATTTTATTGTAGTCTTGATGTGCACCAAGTTTGACGTTAATCCAATAAAACAAAGTGAACAATTTTGTAAATGCAATAAAATTGTAAATAATAAAAAAATCATAAAAAATCAACCGATGACGTCATGGTAACATCATTTCAGATTTTGCATATTTGTGACACCATCTACCTATCCACTAGGTTTCATGACGATTGGGCCTTTTCTTATAAATGTTAAAAAAATTGCATTTTCGATGACGTCATCGTGACGTCAGACTTTTTCTAAATTTTTTGCAGACACGTATTTACTAACGAACAAGAATTTCCAATTTTGCATGTTGCGTTCGTAAGATATGGCTTAAAGCTCCAAAAATTCAAAAAAATATATATAATCACATAATGCTGTCATCGTGACGTCACCTCAATTTTTACCTATAACACATCCCGGTTTACCAACACACCGAGTTTCAACCCAATCGAACTTACTCTTTTGTAGATATAGGCCTTCCAAATTTGCACGTTTGTGATGACGTCACTTGACCCATGATGACGTAATCATGACGTCACTCTTCGAGACACAAATTCACTATAGGGTCTTTACCTGAAAAAAGTTTCATTGGAAAAGGACTTTGACCCATAAAGATCAAAAAAAGGAAAAACTAGAGGTCCATGTCTGTTTGAAAACAGAACATAGGGCTTTTCCGATTATGATTTTATCTTGTACGACTTTGTGCTTTCTTTGCTGATGTGCCATCAAGTGAACTATAATTATTTTGTTCAAAGTTCATGAAAAGTAATATTCGGGTAGTAGCCAATACAACAGATATGAAATAGTTAAGAATTAGTTAATGACGTCATGTTGTCCCTTCGGATTGTGCATATTTTCTAGTTTCCCATCAATATCATGATGATTGTACGGATCTGGGGTAACTGGATGGGTTTTAATCTCATATGTGAACTCGTTTCCACTGTCAATGACTGTTACTTCTGGCCGATACAGTTCTGCTTGATTTTATTCTCTGTATTCCTTTTATTCTGTTCTTCCTTTTCTGTCTTTGCAAGGTTATGCTGTCTTTACAAGGTCTTTCTTTTCTTTCTTTATGCTGAAATACAATAGAGAATTACAACAGTAATCAGTAAGGGAAAAATAACAATCATCCCAACCATGTGACAATTAGCAATGAATTTACATGAACTTTGGATGACAAATCCAGCTTAAACAACTGTTCATCTTACAATATAAACCTCAGATATGCAATCATAAACATTCATAGGGTTAACTCACCCAGTTTTGGTAACATATGTCAGGTTGAATGATGAAAAATACAACACTTTTCAGCATCAAGATGGAGATTTTCATGTAACTTGGAACAATGAAAGCATGGTTTGAAACAGCGCCACCAATAGTCTGAAAGTATATAGCTCAACACTATTAAACTGCAATAGCGCCCTCTGTTGGACTAGCTAGTTTCTACAGCCGCCCCCAAATTTTAAACAGAAATTTGCATAATAACAGGAACCCTAACACTATACTACTGGTAACGGTTACGGTTAAACACTTGGGATCAGAAACTGTGGCCATACAGCCTGAAGGAGACGGGTGCTTGGGTAAGGGACATCCCGGTTGCAGCAGGTGCAGTCTCTTCATCATACTTGGACAGTTGCACTAGTCTGGCAACTGGTCGCTTGTATGTCTTGTTGCCCACTTTCACGTTAACAATGCGAATCCTCCCATCACTGCCGGGAAGTAACTCGTCAACCTTGCCAACTGGCCACTGGGATCGAGTTAGTTGCAGCACAGCCTCTGAAACAGTCCGGTCTCCAAGTACACCTCTAAGAGCGTTTTTGACGGATCGCACTTCACGTTCCCACAGTCCTCCGAAATGTGGCACATTGGGAGGATTGAACCTGAACACGACTCTGTATTGGGCAAGGCGCTGAACCAACTCTGGCTCCATTTCCTTCAGGGCCTGTTGAATCTCCGACTCAGCTCCTTTGAAGTTGGTACCGCAGTCACTCAATAATTGGTGAGGTACACCCCTACAGGAGGCGAATCTTCGATATGCCATCAAGAAGTGGTCTGTGTCAAGAGACTCGACAAGCTCGAGGTGGACAGCCCGGGTTGTCATGCACTTGAAGATCAAGCCCCAACGCTTCTCCTGACGTCGGCCAATCTTCACTCGAAATGGACCAAAACAGTCCATACCAGCGGAGAAAAAGGGGGGCTTATGTAGTCGCAAACGAGACTTTGGCAAGTCAGCCATCTTTGGGACCTGAGGCTTCCCCCGCCATCGTCGACACTCTGGGCAGGTTCGGAGGACACCCTTGACAGCTGTGCGTCCCCGTATTATCCAGTAGCGACGTCGGAGGTGAGCAAATACTTGCTCAGTGCCCGCCTGATGTCCAAAATGCTTATCAGCTTCTTGGATGAGGAGCTTGGTGACTGCATGGTGAGGGTCTAAGACAATTGGGTGTGGTTCTAAGTCAACTGACGCATCTTGTGACACTTTCCTGAGACGACCACCAACTCGTATCAGCCCTGCAGGGATGTCCAGTTCAGGAGCAAGCTCTAGGAGGCGACTATTCCTGGATAACTCTTTTCCTTTCTCCAAGGTAACGATATCTTCCCGGAAGTTGTCCAATTGCGCACGACGCAGAAGCTGGTTCTCCACTTCGAGTGTCTGCTCAGGGCTGAGAACCCCATCCACTCGTTCAGCAGCTGGAAAGAGATCCTGACTCAGGGAATCGACAAGGTCAGACCAACTCTGATGATTGCTGAAATCAAGTTCAGCCACCGGGCCTGCCACAGTGAGACCACAGAAGTTGGTTCCTTTCATCTCGCTGAGATCAGGGGTTGATGTGGCACGAGTCTGGGCTAAGACGGATGCACTGTCACTCTGCCATGTATCAGGTTCAGCAAGTAGCCACGGAGGCCCTTCAATCCAGCGGGAGCCTGGACCCAACTCTGAAACTGAGAGTCCTCTGGTGATGTCATCTGCTGGGTTATCTGCGTAGCGAACATAACGCCATTCGCTGCCGGTTGTCAAAGTCTGGATTTCAGCAATGCGAGTGCCAACAAAAACTTTAAATCGACATGAATCTGACTGTATCCACGTCAACACAGTGGTTGAGTCACTCCACATTGTTACATACTGGATGTTGACATCAAGCGTCTGGGTAACAAACTGAGCAAGCTGTGCACCTACAAGTGCCGCCATGAGTTCCAGACGTGGCATGGATGTCCGGCGCTGGGGAGCCACCCGACACTTGGCAACAACGAAACTGAGGAAGACTTTTCCTTGAGGATCTATCGACCGCATGTATGCCACTGCCCCATACAACCTCTCTGATGAATCACAAAACACGTGCAGGGACCTCTCGACAGTAGCAGTATCCACCTGGGGAGGGGTGTAGCATCGTGGTAATCGTATGGATGGGATATGCTCAAGCTCTGTACACCAGTCGTCCCACCTCTGCTTTATGTCAGCGTTAGTCACGGCTTCATCCCAGTCCAACTTCTCCATCCACAATTCTTGTACTATCATCTTTGCTCGAGCAGTGAAGGGTGCAATGCTCCCAAGGGGCTCAAACTGGCAAGCCAGTACTCGAAGGGCAGTACGCTTGGTGAGTGTTCGGTTCTCTGGGACCTTAGCGGGATGGCATAACTCGTCGCTCTTGCAATCCCAACTCAGGCCCAAAGCTGGTTCCAATTCGCACCCCAAGTTGTCTAGGGAGAGAGATCGAATGTAGCGGTCAGAACGGACCGCGACGGGCAGATCTTCAACCACCTCAGGATGACTGCTAGCATATTTGACCATCTCGAACCCAGCTTCATGGAGGCACTCTCTGGTACTGGCAACAAGTTCCCTTGCTTCTTCCTCACTGTGGCGACTGGCCAGTTGGTTATCCACATAGGTTTCACGCTCGATGGTTTTCTGTACAGCTGGATATCTTGCGTTGGCATCTATGGCAGCCTTCTGCAGGGCAAAGGTAGCGCAGCATGGGCTACAAGCGGCCCCAAATGGCAGCACCAGCCATTGGAAAACCAACCAATCATCTCGCTTTTCATCCCACCAAAGAAATCGGAACATGGGACTGTCTTCTGGAAGGAGTCTCACCTGGTGAAACATCCCAGTTATGTCACCAGACACAGCGACCCTGCCTTGACGGAATCGAAGTAACACCTCCATCAGGGAAGAATGCAGGGTTGGCCCGGCTAGCAACTCATCGTTGAGGTTCTGGCCCATGGATTCAAAGGAGCAATTGAACACGAGACGGTATTTGTTGCTACTGAAAACCACGTGATATGGGATGAACCAGCTTGATGTTTCCATCACTAGTACCTCAGCCAATGTCCCCAGTTCCTGGACGTGTCCCTGATTCTTAAGCTTCTGGATATACGTGGTACAAAACTCCGCTAGCTTTGAGTCTTTGTCCATCTTCCTCTTGTGTGCACGGGCCAGTGCTTCAACAGCTCTTGGGGTGCTTTGTGGAGGACTGGAGCCTGGCTTCCACAGCAGTGGGGTTTGTAGGCGTTGTATTCCTTGCACCTCAACTCGCGAAGTCTTCTCTTTGAGGATTTCAATGGCAAACTTATCAAGCCGGGAGCGTGTTGCTTCTTTTTCATTTATGCGAGGTAGTTTGTCGATTGTCATGAATCTTTCAATCATTCGATGAAGATCATGTTCGGGCTGTTGACATCTCGTGAACAACACCTGCTGAGGGGTTGCTAACTTGCTTGGGTGCTGGAGTCCCTGTCTTCCCTGTGTGGGGGGGGGGGGGGCTGTTTGGTCAGCTGTGGTGATTTGGTAAAGAACACAGCAAACACCCAGGATTCGGATCTCTATATGTGATGTTTTATTTCAGCCACTGAAGTTGGTGTGCAGCGGACAGGCCAACAGCGGAGGCGATGGCAACGTGAGGAATCAAAATAAAAAGAAAGAGAAAACAAAATAAATCAAGTATTCCCTGAAAGTTAACTTAAGACAAAATGTATACATGTATAGTTTGAAAATCATCAGACCAGAACTTTGATGCAAGATAACGACAGATTAAATTTAGGAACCGTCAGGAAATTAATTACCCTGGTCAGTTTTCCTACTGGAATTTAATGAAAGCCTAATTTAGTTACCGTATATGGACTTACTTTACTGACTGCAATGACTAAGAGTTGACTCTGGTTGTCACTTGAGTCATTAATTAACATGTAAATTGAAATAAAGACTGTGAATCAATATTTCACAAGTACTCTCGGATTACTCTCTAATTACTGTGTTACCTTAGAGATAAAATCCAGCTTAATTAAAGTCCACATATTCTACACAAATCCAAGTTCCAATCATATTTATAAGTAGGGCACTCATGTTATAAATTCCCCAAGTACATGTTTGTTTACATGTGATAAATCTTCCTACATGTGCATTTACATGTACAATTTCATGTGACTAAAAGAACAGAAAAGCTTGTTTATATGTGTCAAGTCAAAATGAATAAACCTTAGTACTAACTTCACTGAAGATCCATATGATTTCAACAACTTTAATACAAGAATAACAACAATAGTTTTCAGTCATGGCATCGTCAATTTTGGGCATGAGATACATGTACATGTATACGAACTATTCTGAACGTACCGCAAGAGGGCCTCCATTTGTTCATCGATCGAAAAGTTACAGAAAAGTTTGACCTAAATTACCCATTTAAATATCCCTTTAAACGTTACCAAAGTTGTCCCACAATTGCTATATTCCACCAAAAGTATGATTATCTAAATTAAATGGAATTTAAAGTTAACAAAATAGAGAAATTTACCTGAAGTTGGTGTGCAGCGGACAGGCCAACAGCGGAGGCGATGGCAACGTGAGGAATGCCAAGGCCGCCGCAAGGTGGCGCTGTTGCCGCACACCGTTAAACTTACAAGTGCATCGTAACTTACAAGTACGTCCGACATCCCTCACAATCTTCCCTTGCTAAGAGGTCGTCGCCCTCGACGACAAGTATGTGGCCTTCTAAGACTGAAACTATATAACTACTTAACAATGATTTAAATGCATGCAAACAATCATCAACAATCAAAACATCATAAACAACAGCTTTTGATTGACTTCCTATATAAAGTGGAACTCTTGTTAAACATGAAACAATGAAGTCAAATAAATGTCAAAATTTGACAGGCCTAAGAATTGGCTTACCAGGACTAATAGGGCACTGGGGGTTCCCTTGCTAAGTGTGATGCACATACAAGTAGTTTTGTGTGTCAACTGTCTAGAACATGGTTGAAATGGAAAAACATCTCAAAAATTAGTCCCCAGATTCATCAGTGTCTATTGTGTCCTCTGGAGCAACCATATGCTTGACTCGGTTAAGTAATCTGACTACATTTGAGAATTGGAACCTATTAGGTGGCTTGCCTTTGGTCGAACGCTTGGAGCGCCTGACGCCTCCCGTGGAGTGATCTGGCTCGGTGGGTTCCTCAGTAGAGACCCCTAGTAGGTGAGCTTCATCTGTCCTCCCCGCGAGGGAGCTGGCACCACTTGTGGAGCCGGGATCTTCAACTGGTTCTCTGGTAGAGCTCTTGCCTCCTGTGGGTGCTGTCTGGTTCTCTGGTCTGGTCTGGGGTGGCTCGGAGTCACTGGCTGATACCGCTGGCACTTCAGTAATGGGGTGGGCGGCTGCTTCACACCCAGTACTGAGCTGCCTTGCTTTCTCCTGCGAGCTCTGGTCGTCCACCCTGGGGACCCAGGTGAGTAACCTACCCCACTCAGCTGAATCACTGGTGGGTGAAGTAGAGGGGGACGTCTCATCTGAAGTAGAGGGGGAAGTAGTCTCGTCAACCGCCACCATCTTGGGTTCGGGGAGATCCCAAGGACAATGCTTGATTTCACAACGATGCAGAATCTTACGCTGGCCACGAGGGTTCTGGACAATGTACACCGGCTGACCCTCATACGGTCGCTCTACGACCATGTATAGCTCTGGCTCCCAATAATCTTGGATTTTGGACCGTCCCCGATGCGAGCGATCTCGTACCAAGACATACTCCCCTGTGTTAATCGGTCTCTCATACACAACTTGGTCATGCAATGTACGCCTGGCTTCTGCTCCTTTATCCTGGTTGCTGACTGCCAACCGCCTGGCCCTCTCTAGCCCTTCCTGGTGTTTTTTGACGTAGACATCTTGAGTCGCGCCACCAATCTGGTCATGATCAACACTCAAGAGAAGATGCTGGGGCAACCGCGCCGTCCTTCCAAACAGGAGGAAGAAAGGTTCATAGCCAGTTGTTGCATGTTTGCTGTTGTTGTACGCCATAACAAGCAGAGGAAGTTGTTCGGTCCATCTTGACTTTTTGGAGGAGGGCAAGGTTACAAGGAGGTTGTGGAGAGTGCGATTAAATCGCTCACACATCCCGTTCCCTTGGGGGTGATAAGGGGTAGTGTGGGAGCGACCTATTCCATACAGTTGACAAAGTTCAGTGATGACTTGTGCCTCAAAACACCGCCCATTATCGGAGTGTAATCTCAAAGGGGCTCCGAAGGGTGTGATGACATATTTTATCAATGCCTTGGCCACGGTGTGTGCTTTCTGATCCTTGGTAGGTATAGCCCAAACAAACCTGGTGAATATGTCTGTGAGGACGAGGACGTTCTCATAGCCATCAGAGGATGCCTCCAACACAGTGAAGTCCATCGCCACGACTTCCAAGGGTGCCGTAGCTCGGAGGGTCCCTAATGGTGGACGGGTTTGCCTGACAGGTTTCTTCCCAACCGCACATCGTTCACACTGCTGGCACCAGGTGCGTACTGAGACCTCCATTCGCAGCCAAAAGAACAACGGCTGAACCAGACGCAGTGTCCTTCTCGCTCCAAAATGCCCGCAGTCATCATGGAAAGATCTCAGCACTGTGTCTATCAGAGCAGCTGGGGTGACAAGCCTCTCGACACTTCCTCCCTCAGGACGTACTCCACGACGGAAGAGGACACCCTGCTTCAAGTGGAGTTGACCCCAGTGCTTCAGAAGCAACATCACATCCCTTGGGTCTTCCTCTCTCTCAGCCCGGGAGGGTCTCCTCCCTCTTTCCACATACAACAGAATGCGCCGGAGAAGGACATCTTCTTCCTGCAGCTTCCGGAGGTCTCCTGGTTTGTATCCAGGAAGACACTGACTTCCTTCTTCACTGGTAACTCGAATTTGGTGCGCTAGATTTGGGGGCATCTCTGTCGCAGCCCCGACATCACCACCTGAGTAGGCTCGTATGGCTTGTGATGATAGCTCAGTGACCTGGCCATCTGGAACTTCTGAAGAACTCCGTTTCAACCTAGACAGGGCATCTGGGGCTTGGTTCTTCTTGCCTGGTCGATACTCTAACTGGAAGTCAAAAGCTGCTAGCTGTTGCACCCATCGGAGCTCGGTACAGCTAAGATTAGCAGAGTCCAAGAACTTCAGAGGGTTGTGATCAGTATAGACAGTGCTTTTGTTCCCCATAAGGTAGTCTCTGAAAGCTTGGCACACTGCCCACCGGACACCCAGCAGTTCCAACTTGAAGGCAGAGTAGTTTTTGTCATTCCTTTCGGCTGGCCGGAGTGATCTAGAAGCGTAGGCAATGACTCGTCTAGACCCATCATCCTGCTGCTGTGAAAGTATTGCCCCCAGACCTCGTGAGCTAGCATCTGTTTCAACGATGAAGGGACGACTGAAGTCTGCAAAGGTAAGTATGGGTGCTTGAAGGAGTGATGACTTTAGGGACGAAAAGGCCTTCGACGCTTCATCGCCAAGATTCAATTTTTTGCAACCAGCCCGATTCTTCTCCCTGGTGTTCAAACCCCTAAGGTGAGACAGTAAGGGTGCCGCTATACTGGAATAGCCCTGGATGAACTTACGAAAGTACCCGGTGAACCCCAGAAAGCTTCTGAGCTCAGTCACAGTTGTCGGCTCTGGCCAGTCCTGTACGACAGAGACCGTATCAGGATCCGGCCTAATACCTTCATCTGCCACGACCAGGTGCCCGAGATATTTGACCTCCTTCTTGAAAAAACTGCACTTCTGGGGTTTGACTTTCAACCCATAGTGGCGCAGCCTAGCGAATACTGTCTCCAGGTGTATGATATGCTCGTCGAAAGTAGTCGAGAACACTATTATATCGTCTAGGTAGATGAGAACAGACTCCAATGCTTGGTCTCCCAGACATCTCTGCATCAGCCGTTGGAACGTTGCAGGACTGTTGCAAAGACCAAAAGGCATTCTTGTGTACTCGAACAAGCCAAAGGGGGTTGTGAAGGCCGTCTTTTCAATGTCTCGCTCCTCCATTGCCACCTGATGGTAACCTGAAGCAAGATCGAGCACACTCAGGAATTTAGCCCCGCCCAGCGTCTGCAGGGTCTCATCAATCCTCGGGAGAGGGAAGGAGTTCTTCACGGTGACAGTATTCAACTGACGATAGTCGACACAGAGTCTTATTGACTGATCCTTCTTCCGCACAACCACTATTGGAGCGGACCAAGGACTGGAACAATGCCAGCCTCCATCAATTTCTGTATATGAGCCCGTACTTCTTGATATTGGGAAGGAGGAAGTGATCGGTAGCGTTGATGGATCGGGGGAGCATCCCCTGTCTCTATTCGGTGTCGAACAGCATCTGTGTACCCTAAGTCTCCCTCCC